AGGACCTGTGAAATTCAAAGCATTAAAGACTCTCCCATCTCCTTTCCAGTGATTCTTAACCTTTTACCCAGGTATGCCCGGTATCCCCAGGAAAACAACACAGAAAAAGTGTTGTAGTAGCCAAAAAGTAACAGCTGGCCTGATGACAAACAGTGAACTCACCTCTATTGGCATCAGTTCATGGCCTGACTTAGCTGATGTGGCATTGTGCTTACCTGGAAGAATAGGCTGACCCTGCTGTAAAACAGGAAGCTCCATAGATATTTCCCCATCAGCCTGGTCCCAGGCCAGCCATCGATGTGCAGGAAAAGAAAACTGCTCCCCTGAGAAAAGGTTGAGCAACTGCACCTAAACAGAACCAAGAGTTGCAGTTTAAGTGGTTGATCTCAGTCTGGATGGAGCAGAACATGAAACGTGTGGGATGCTGTTGAAATCTGTGCAGCTGGAATTCTGTGGCACGATCACAAAACCATGGGTTTGGGGTATGTCTGCTCCCTGGATACAGCTGCCCCCAATCTGACTTTTCACTCAGACTCAAAAGTGCAGGGCAGAGTAACTCAAGGGCAACCAAGAGACAAGGTTTATCAGCTCAGGTGCAGGCCCACAAAACGTAGCTATGTCATTCCAGCTGGTATATCTACGTGGGCTGGCACCAGGTGGCATGGCTTACCGAACACTCTCACTGGGAAGTTTGGCAATGCTTGCAGTTCTATTCCTTGAACTTATTTTCTTATCATAACAGGAATTAAAAGAACAGGTTTTGATTCTTCAACTCTGCTTGTGACATAAATAAACGATGAAAGTGCTAGCCCCAACACTAGTCTGTCCTACACAATTTTCTTCCATGCCCAACTTCTAGCATATAGCAGCAAAAGGACCATAGGCACACCAGCTGAAGAAATGAAGGAGGTCTACTTATCTTGTACTTCATAAGATTCCTTAGTAAGCACCTCAGAGGCTCCTGTATATTAGAATAGTCCCTGATTCTGCTAGTTTATACTAGTAGCTACACTCAATTTTGGACCAGCAGAGAGAAGCAAAGACATTTCTACCTGTAGTTTCACTCCTGCTCTGTGCTTTGCAGAATCTCATCTCCTTAATTCGAATGTTGAACAAATTCAGAATTACTGGAAACATTTTTATCTCTTTTACTGCCTGAATACTAAACTCTAAAGAGAAAGAGACTCACCTTGTCTGAAAAACCTGGCACTTCTTAGCCTGTCAGCATCTACTGACAGATCTTGAAAAGGGAGTTTGGATTAGCAAAACAGCCTCTTTGTGGACATTTTCAGGTCTGATACCATCACAGTCCAGAGACAGACACAGAAATCATGCAATACTGATAGAGGACTAGTATGTCTAACTACCAGAAAAGCTCTGCTGCTCTACAGCAGCAGAGTACTCTCTCTTAATTTCAGATCTTCCAGAAAAATGTAGGTTTCCCAAGAAACAATGATGTTAAGCATCTCTTCTACAAAGTCAAGAAATCAGTGGCTGTACTCCTTTGGCTCTCTACCATACAAAACACTAGGTTACTTGTAGAGTGTGTTTGGTTGAATGTATTTCTTTTCTTTGAGTTTCTGCCCAAAGTTGCCAAGAGGGAATGACCTAACCCTGGCTGATGAATCACTCCCTAAAACCTGTGCCTGATTAACTGAGATTTGGTAAGAAGACAATTAAAATTTGCAAGCCAATAATCAATAGAACACACTCAAGTGTTGAATCTTTCTTTTAAAATGTTACTGTTGATTTCAATTAATATATCCTAGCTGGGAAGTGAGAAGGGGAATAAAAACTTCTCATTTTTTCTTTCCTTTTTTTGTCAGACTTCTTCAATCTCTCAGTTTAAATGGGTGTCATACAAAGCAGGCAGTGCAGCCTCTATTCAGAGGATGGTGTACAACAAAGCTGCATATGTCCATTTGCCACATCAGATTTCATTATAACCAAAACGTCTAATACCACGATTAAGCATACAAATGAACGTTTTCTAAGAGAAAACCTACTGTTCTCTTCTAGCCTCTCAACTCAGATACACTTTTGGGTGTATTGCTGGTAACCTGTACCTCTGTCTCACAGGATAAAGTCATGAGGTATTTTCTACCCTTTCACTGCTTCCACACACACATTTATGAACAGAAAAATAGCAAGGAACAGAAGAAAAAAGTGTCTTAAATGATACCCTGACTCCAGCATTCCCCAAAACAAAGCACAGCTGGAAAACAAATACCTAGGTTTTATAATTCCTTAAAGAATAACTCATCAGTGTTGTCATCCTGGCTGGGTGGCCTACAGTAGGCTCCCACAACATCCACTTTATTTGTCTGTCCCTTAATCCTCACGCAGAGGCTCTCAACTGTGCCATCATTGACTGCAAGCTCCATGCATGCCAGCTCCTCCATTACATACAACACCAACCCTCCCCACCTCACCTGCCCTGCCTGTCCCTCCTGAAGACCCTGTAACCATCCATCATGGCACACCAATCACAGGACTCGTCCCATCTGGTTTCGCTTATGCCAATGATGTCGTGTCTCTGGGACTGGGCCAAGGCTTCTAGCTCCTCTTGCTTGATCCTCATGCTGAGCACATTGGTGTAGAAACATTTCAAGCACGGTTCGTTGTGCCCATCGCTTCATGGAGCACTCTGAAGGATCTCACCAGCATGCAGTCTCAAACTTTGGCATGCCAGCCCATTGCTTGTCACTGACTAGTCTAGTTTTGTCCCTTTCCCCCTTCCAATCTAGTTTAAAGCTCTGTCAATCAGCCCTGCTAGCTCCTGCACAAAAACTCTTTTCCCCCTCTGAGGAAGGTGCATCCCATCGGATGACAGTAGAACTGGTGTTGTACAGACCATCCCATAATCGAAAACCCCAAAGTTCCACTGGTGACACCAGCCTCAGAGCCACCTGGTGATTAGTTGGGTCTGCCTGTTGCTTTCAATATTCTTCCCTGCTACTGAAGGAATCGAAGAAAAAACTACCTGTGCACCTGATGCTTCAACCAACCACCCCAAGACTCTGAAATCCCTTTTGATCACCTTTGCACTTCTCTTTGCTACCTCATCACTGACGACATGAAGAGCCAACAGCAGATGATAGTCTGAGGACCTTACAAGACCAGGGAGTTTTCTAGTACCATCTCTTATCCTGTCCCCAGGGAGGCAGTAAACTTCCCTGTGGGTTGGGTCCAGTCAGCATGTCCAACCCTCCATTCCCCTCGGAGGGGAATCACCTACAACAACTACCTTTCTTTTTTCTTTTATGGGTGGTTGTGATGCGGGGGGGTAGGCTGCCTAGACGATCCCTCCATCCCAGAAGGCCCTTCATCCACATCACCAATTGTCTGTCCATCCAGTTGCAGGGCCTTATACCTGTTGTGTACGGGTATCTGGGAAAGCAAGGCACGCTGAGAGTGGATTCACCAGCCACCCCAAGCAGTAACCCACTTCCATTCTCCCCTGTCTCCTGGATCTCCTTCTTCCGCCTGGTGGTGAGAGGGTAGGGGGGTCCTTTGTCTCTTGTGTCATGGTTGACTGGTCCATCTGTCTCACTGATACTCCTCAGCCTGGACAATTCCTCCCAAAGCTCTGTCACCAGGCTGATCAGCTCTTTTACTTGGACACATCTCCCACAGGTGAGTTTACTGCTGCCATCAGATACTGACCCAAAACTCAGGCACACCCTGCAGCCTGGGACCTGGATGGCTCCATGTTCCTTTGAGAGCTCTGTCTGGGTGACTCCATCAGTTCTTGCTGCTGGAGGGGCCATGAGAGATGCTGAGGGCACAGCTTTTTGCTGGGTGGGTATGATGGCTTCTGCTGCTCTCAGCTGGATGTTCCCAACCTGGTCACTGTGGCTTATTTAGGCCTGAGTTCCACTTCTGCTCTGCCTTGGCTGAAGCATAGCACACATAGGTTTAAGGATACCCCTTTCTTCTTCCTAGTGCCCTTCTTTCTCCTTCCCACACAAATGTGAGTACTGCTAGACAGCTCTGAGGTGAGTGCCAGCCATTTTGTCAGAGACCTCCAGTACCACACCACACCACACCACACCACACCACAACACACCACACCACACCAAACCACAACACACCACACCACACCACAACCAACAA